GATGTGCAGTGTTTTGTAATTGTTTATGTCTGTCTACATCTCATATAATTTTATGGCAAAGTATATTGATTTTGAATAGTTCTGGAAGCATATTAATTTTATTTATTAATTTTTGTTGCAAAGTAAAATCATGATGCATTCTGTGCATTTGAATAATATTAATTATTTAATATTCTTGATATATTCCATATACATGTATAATGTGATATTTCACTTTTGTGATAAACATATTCAATACATAATCATTTTGACATTAAGGAACAATTTACAAAGAATTAGCATTTTATATGTAGTAAAAATTCATTATTTGTTTTTTAAATTTTTATTACAGATAGAGTTGCATGTGGTATTTTTTAACTTAATCATGATGGCATTTTGATGCAATGAAAAAAAAAATCTTGTTTTTGCAATAAATTTATTAAAACTTATGAATATTTTGTCTTTTTTCTTTATGAATGCTTAAAGATAGAGAAGAAACAATGGCAGAATCAGAAAGAACAGAACTTTTCCAGTCTGAGTACCAAATTTTATGAAAATCTGACAAGAAATAAAAAAATTGGATGAAAATAACTGATTTTTTAGTCTTCGCCGGGTCCGCCGCCAGGCGGTTTGAGCTGCATCATTATTAAGGCATAAAATTCTAGAAAACGACCGAAATGTCATGACTAAAATGCCATAACTTTTTTTCTAATAAAGATATCTTCATGAAATAAAAAGTGTTGTACAGCATTTAATGAGCTCTTTCAAGTGGCATAAAGTTTGCTTACATTTTTCAAAAATAAAAAATTAGCTTGGGTTGCTAGTACTTATCTCTATTTTTCAAAAGAGTCCTAAATTTTTCTCACTGTTTTATTTTTTTTTTTTTTGATTTGTGTTAGAAAACTATCAAGACTATTTATACACGAAAAAAGTATTGCTTTATAAAATATCTTATCGAAATATTTTGGTCAATACACAGCCCTATTCTCCACACACCAATTTACACATGGCACCCCTACATATTTTATCCATGTCAGTCTTAATGCCGTAGTTAGAAAATAAAAATGGCGACTAATATGTTCCGGTGAGAAATGCTCAATGATTATTGTTTTATCTATAGAACACATAATTAAATTTGTACAGGTCCACCAACATCAAATCACCTTTGAAAAATTAACACGTGCTAGTCGTATATAGTCAGTCACCTGAGTCCACTCGTCGCAATTGGCAACTTCAATGTACCCGTTATCAAAACTGCTATAAGCTTTGTGTTCAGCGGACCCCAAAATCACTTCAAATTAACAGAGTTTTTCAAGTTAACCGATTTCAATCTAAACGAGTATTTATTGCAAAGAAACTGCACCAGCATTTTAGGAGAAACCAAATTCATTTCAAACAAACTGATTTTTCAAACAAAGAGAGTTCAATGCAAGTGAGTTCGTTACATTACAATTCAGTTGACCTTGACCTTTGGCTTTATAAAATCACTCTGGCGGTTGATTGAATCATTATTATTATTATTTTTTTTTTTTTTTTTTGATTTTGAGAGGCAGGATTTTGATAATTAGCATTTATATCACATGTTACTGTATATGAGCTCATGACACTGTACTTTGAAACTGTATGCAATATAACCACACAAACTGAAATTTAAATACAATGAAAAGACATCAGGATGGGTATACCAAAAGTATCGATACAGACTGAAGAGAGACTGAAATCTCTTTTGGAAGATATCAGGGATAAAGATATATTTATTAAAAATAATTATTTTAATTATACCCCCACTCCGAAGGAGAGGGGGGTATACTGTTTTACCCTTGTGTGTCTGTCTGTCTGTGTGTCTGTCTGTCTGTCCGTAACAAATATTTCGTCACAGTTTTCTCAGCAACTACTCATCGCAGATGCTTAAAATTTTAGCACACACTTTGTTGAGGTATGCCATATGGTGGGATTCATTTTTGTACAAATCTGATTTCAACTTCCTGTTTATCCGTGCATCTGTCTGTACCATACATAACAAATTTTGGTTGCAGTTTTCTCAGCAACTACTAATTGCAGATGTTTGAAATTTTAGCACATTCTTTGTTTAGGCATGCCATATGGTAGGATTTATATTTGTACGAATCCGATGTCAACTTCTTGTTTATCCGTGCATCTGTCCGTACCATCCATAACAAATTTTTGTCGCAGTTTTCTCAGCAACTACTGATTGCAGATGCTTGAAATTTTAGCACACTCTTTGTTTAGGCATGTCATATGTTGGGATTCATTTTTGTACGAATCCAATGTCAACTTCCTGTTTATCCGTATGTCTGTCCGTACCATACGTAACAAATTTTGGTCCCAATTTTCTCAGCAACTACTGATTGCAGATGCTTGAAATTTTAGCACTTTCTTTGTTTAGGCATGTCATATGGTGGGATTCATTTTTGTACGAATCCGATGTCAACTTCTTGTTCACCCATAACTGAACTTGTGTATTTTCACATCGGAATGTATATTCACATCAAAGCAGGGGTATTACTAGTGAACATTGGCCCACAGACTTCTTGTTAATTTCAATTTTATAATTCACTTTAGCTTTGAAGGGTGGGGAATCATATATCTATTGTCAGATTTTATATGATAAATGCTATTCTGTTTTGGTCCTACTATTTGTGGATTTTTTTTTCTTTGCTATATAAGGGCTATTTTGAAATTAATGAGACATTTACTTTTACTCCATAAAAGAAAGACATAAATTCATGAAAATTTGTCAACATTTTAACAAGAACAAATAAAACAGCTATGCAAAATTTCTAATTGATAGGATAATTAGACATGTCCCATTGGAATTATAAACTTGCATATGTCTATTGACCTAAAGCAGCATTGCTTCTTCATTTTCATCTCATGCCAGCCATAGATCTTTACCATGTTGAGACAGTCTGGAAGCTTTAATGCTTCTTTCTCTGTCATCACAGAAACTAATCAACTGATTGAGATGAAACCTTCTTAGGGTTAACAGGCATGTTGTGTAGATGTGCAGAAGGAAGGTCATTTTACCCACACTTACATGCACATGCGTGCGCGTGCAAGGAGTGAAATGACTGAAGCAATTGAAACACCATCAACCTTCCTGTTTTTTTATGATATGCTTTGAACTTCATTGTATAGACTTATATTAGTGGTGTAGACAAGAAGAGGTGGTTGAATTAGCAAGAAAGCATGTGCATGCATGTGTGCTTTGCTCTGTTTGACTGACACAAAAAATCTCAATAACCTTTGTGTTTTTTGATGAAATGCTTTGAAATTTAAAACATAGTCATACACAACAAGGCTCTACATTTTGATATAATATATGAGATATTGTGAAAACACGCTCATGCAAGTGTGCTGCAATTTGATTGGCTTAAACTTTAAATGGCTGTTACAGTAGTAACTTTCTTAGTTTTTAACAAAACTGGATGGAATTCAGAATATAGATAGGTGTAATGGGTTCCTACATTGTGCTACTATGAAAATTGAATGCAAGAACGTGGATTCTGATTTGCCAATACTTATATGGCCGTATCTCTCATAGTTTTCAATGAAAATCTTTAGATTTCTTACATAGCTATTTATTGTGAGTCTCTTCACGAGGAAGGAATATGAAATATTTAGAAAATATGGGCATGTGCATGCGCTAGAGGTGTAACGATACAGCAATACATCGATCGTATTGATCGCAAGGGCTGACGATACGCGTATTGTATTGCCATGTATGTATTGTGATACAGTAGAAGATAATTTTCATTGTTTTGTTTGTAACTTCTACATTCAACCTAACAAATTTTAATGTTTTAAAATGGCTAAAAAAAGGTAGCAAAGAAAAAATACAATATCAAGACTATAAATCCACCTTTTATTAACTTTGATAAGGGTTATCAAGATATTCTTTGTATATTTTCTATAACTGTGGAGTTAGCAAAGAATTATATGTTTAGATAAAGCTTAATTCAATTGGTGACCGCTGTATCATGGTACATGTTGTATATCACATGACCGTATCATGATATGTATCATATCGTTAGGTAGTTTGCGATACTCAGGCCTAGCATGCGCTGAAATCCAGTTGGTTAATACTCGAAGAACTATACCAGTGTTGTTTTTCAAATAAATACTACTGAAAATAAAGTATAGATTTATTAAACAAAAGAATTGCATAATGAAATGAAGCCTGTAATGAATGGGGCCCATAAGAGAATGGGGAAGTGTTTGGGGAACATCTGAAACAGTTCCCTTTACAGTTAGCACTAGTTGTTATTGTTTTAGAAGATCTTTTAGTCTGGAAAAGAGTTCTCCACAGAGCTACGTAAAATTCTAGGTATGCTTGCTGTGTCGTGTTGACATCAAAATCTATTTTATTGATGTAATCAGATATCTATACCAAGCTTAGATTTTTTTATGATCTCCGTATTTCTGATTGAAATTCTAAGAAGCTTGCACAAAATGAATTGAAATGAAATTGAAAAAATAAATACCGATATATAATTTGAATTATTTTCGCTCTTGCTGTATATGGGTCCACTGGGAGTTGGAACATAGGTATAAAATATTTCAATATATGATTTCGTGACGGCACCGGGTACCCCTTCTATGTACCCATTAATATACCATTGAAAAGAAGAAATAAAATATTTGTAAAATATTTGTTGCTTTTATTAATTCTTAGTGTTTGTCAAACGTATATGCCATTTTTCACCAAAAGGCATTACTTGGAAAGAAAAATAAACACTATGTACTAATAATCTCTTAACAACCCTCATAATGCTTGTATCAAATAATATTTGACCACCCTTAGATTTTCTTTTAATCTTAAATAATGATGCTGTTCATCAGGCGACACATGTGTTCCTTGGAACAGTCTTTTAATTTTAGCTAGCAAGATTATTTGGACTTAAAAGTCAAGTCAATAATCTTCTAACAAACATTTTCTTCTGTCATGTTTAATTCATAGTCACTAGGCAACACTGAAATTTCCACTCATTGCTTTTCAGTCATCAACAGGAAAAGGAATTACCGGTAAGTTGACAGGACTTTCCACACTGTTTCTGGTAGCAGCTTATGATTGAATTGATGGTAGAAGACATGGCCCACTTAATCAAAGGTAAATCTCATGGAATAGTGCTAATAGTACTAATATTTTTTTTTATTCTGTTTTGCATTGAAGCTTTAGGTCAACGGCAAATTTTCTTTGTGTGGATTCTTTTATTCTTCTCAGAAATGTGTGGCTGCTAATTAAGCCATAGCTGTCTGTTTTCTTTGAGAATCAAAGAATTGCAGCAAGTCTTTTAGGTTTTCAATGAAATTTCCTTGTTTTTCAGATAATCCGTATAGAGTGGCACCTTAACCATCACTGGTGAAATAGAAGATGACTAGTGGATGGTCATCACTTTGCAGTTCACTTTCACTTTCTGCAGCCCATTTCTTCTCATCCACAATCATTGTCTTTGGAGGAATGGTGACAGTGCAGTCCTCATGGCTGGGCAGGTAACTTCCTTTCCTTTATTTCTCAGCTTTCACCTTTCTTACAAAATTTATTTCCATAGAACACTGCTACAATATTCTTCCTCTAAGAACACAGTATATGTCACTTGGGTAGCACCTTAGAATTGGGTTTTCCCAGTGGCACTGAAGGTGGCATTTTTGTATTGAACATCTCCTTCCACTCTGATACGTGTATCAGGAGTCCCCATTTTTCATTTAGATCCTGAATGTTCTGTCTTATATTCATCATGCTGGTCTTCTACCCCCACAATAAAGGTTGGGGGAATATATAAGAATCACCTTGTCAGTCTATCAGTGCCAACTTGTTGGTCATTGGAAGCTCAAACTTGGTACAAAGAATGTTTATGACCTGTTGGTGTGTCAAGATCTTGACCCAAGGTCATTCCGGCTAGTTCAACAGGGTTTGACACTAAGGCATGTTTGACCCAGTCTAGTAAATGAGTGGTCCAGTCGTGTAAAAGACCAATTGGTCGTATTGATAAAATAACTGTTGAACCCCCATTTCAGTCCTTCAAATAAATAATCTAAAAACTTTCAAAGAAAGGACAAGGTATGGTAATGGCCGAATCTGGCCCCTTATTTGATGTAAAAATCAGAACACAGTTAAAATTGTGATAGTTTGTAGGTAAGAATTAAAAATAATGCTTGTTTTAAAACCAGCACTAATTTTGATTCAAAGCTTACATGGAGGCCACAAGAGGTTGTAGAAGTACTGTAGGTTATTTTCCAGAATTTTCTCAATTCTGGTCGCATTTTGTCAAATTTGAGATACTTTTCACTTCGGGAAATAGAGAGCACAAGGCTGCCTATCTGAGATTTTTATACATAAGATGCATCTGATACTAGTGTATGAAATATATAAATTTGGTAGATAGGCAAGCTTGTGCTCTATGTTTTCTGAACCAAAATGTGCTGTAAAATCAATGAAAATTTGCATAAAATGAGAAAATTCGGAAACTGACATATTTCCTGACCTTCCTGTGGCCTCTGTGTATCCCATAACTTAGAAACAATACTCAATTTATGGCAGGGGTGACGTCAGGTTTTTAACTGAAAAACTGTTGCAACATTCTAAAAGACACCCCAAACCAGGGGCCAAAAAGGGATCTTAGCCTATCTTATCCTTTCTTATATGTTAGATTGTAAACAGTCATTGCTGTGTAAAAATCCCCACATGACCCAATCACTATTTTTAGCCACAGCTGTTATTAACAAGTCGAGGTCAAAACTACTTTTGTTCAGTACAATGTTTCAATATGATGTAAATAGTTATGTTTAGTATAGTTTTAAACTAATTTATTAATATTAACGATAATTATTTTATGAAAGTTTGTTGAATCTTTAGGGCTCATATTGCTCAAATGTCCTGATGAACCCGACTTGATTGGCAGGATCCCATCAAACAGTCTGTCAAAATTCAAGGTCACTGACAGAAAAGATATAAACTTCTTGTCCAGGATATCAGTTAGCAATGGAGAATCATTGAGGCTCATTCTTGGTACAAAGATTATTGAAGACCTGAGAGTGTGTCATGACCTTGGCCCATGGCAATTCTGGCAAGTTCAAGGTCACTGGCTTAAAAAGGTATAAAACACTTGTGTAGGCTGTAACTTTGTAATGGAGAATCATTGGAAGCTCTTACTTGCTACAAAGATTGTTTATGACCTGGAAGTTTGTCTTGACTTTGACCAAGGTCATTCTGGCAAGTTCAAAGTCACTGGCAGATAAGAGATAACATTCCTGTCCAGTCAATAACTTTGTTACTGAGCTTTAATTTGCTACAAAATTTTTTTTTGACCTGAGGGTCATTGTGACAAGTTCAAGGTCTCTGGCAGAAAAAAAATGCAAGTCTATTATTTTGTATTAATGGAGAAAAATTGGATGTCCATATTTCACTCTTAGATTACTCATGTCCAAAGATCTGTCATTTTTTAACCAAAGTCATTTTGGTAAGTTCAAGGTCACATTTACACATTCTAAATAAAAGAATTGCAGCAGGGTTATAACCTTATTATTTTGTGAGATCGCTCACAGCACCTTTAGCTGACATAAGTGATGTAATAATTTTTCTCACTTTGTTTCAGGTCTACTGCATGTTGACAGCTGATACTTGTTCTCTATTTGCTCCGAGAGGCCTACTACACATTACCTCAGTTATGACTGTACTCGTGCTGGCTTTTATGATGTTAATTTCCTTTACCTGCACTGCGTTAAACTTGGTCAATTCTGTTACTGTCGCTCACCAACAGATGAAAATAAGATTTAGCTGATCCTGCCAACATTGTGACATAAGCGGTCCAATGTCCAATATCTCACTCTGCAGTCAAACATCATTTTTTTATGAATGCTCAGTAAAACATTGGAAATGTTAGACTTTTTTAGCATTGATTTATATAGTTATATATTTTTAAAGTAATAACAATTCTTTTTATTGATGTATGTTTAAGTATGCAAAAAGGAACATTGATGATATTTATCTTCTGAATAAAATTTTATATCGATAATTTATGCTCTTGTTTATACAAACCGCAAATGAGGCTTTCTATTCATTAGGAACTGGACCCATAATTACTTTCTTAAGGAGGAATGCCACACCAAAATTTTATTCCATTGGTCTTAAGACATCCATGTTAAGGAAGCTCTAAACACTAATGAAAAATGCTTTTTGGGCTTTGAGAAAAATATATCGTATAAAGGTGCACATATTCAGTGTATCAAGTTCATTTTCAACATAGGGTGCCTGCCTTATTTCTGTAGAAAAAAATGTTCAAAGACAATGAACTATTTGTGAACAGAAATCACTGTTGTTTACTAGCATCAGGAAAATTAATGAAAATAATGTATTCAATTACTTAATCTTGGTCTAACATAACATTAAGAATACTTTAATTCATAAGAAATTGTGTCATTAACTGTAGATTCCCATTTATACTATTTTTCTTCTAAGGGCAAATCACTCAATAAAAATACCCTACGAATAGAACTCTTTAGTGTGCAGTGTTTAGAGCTTCCTTAAGTCATGGTTTCAGCATTGAAAGGCCTAGCTCTTAATTATTTTATAAGAATTTTCTCCAATTTTTCATAGAAAATGAAAAAAAAAATGTTTTATTTGCAAATAAGATGCTTTATAGTTAAAAATTTGATGTTAATGAATGCATAATGTAAATATCTCATAAAATATGTGAAGAAAAGCCAGATAGACATTTTAATTCTTTTACTAAATTTTTTTTTTTTTCGAAAAAGTACATTATTTGTGAATATCTTCAAAACATATGGATAATATATTCAAAAAACAAGTCACAGCTACAAAGGATATGTTAGACAATCATATTTGAAAAAGAAATTGAAACGAAATTGCGAAATTTTAGAGAAATTATTTTTTTACAAATTTTAGCCGATCCCGATCGAAATTAAACTGATCCCAACCAGAATTTTATAATAATTGATAATAGATAATATTTTCACAAGGAATACAAGTTTGTTCAGGTGTAATACGCGTTAAAAAGTAATTGAACTTGATAAATAAATAAATTTCTTAGTGGTAAATACTTAAAGAAGGCAATAATTTCATCTTATTTATTTTGTGTTAATTTTGATCGGGATTGGTCTAAATATTGAAAAAAATAGTTTCCCTAAAATTTTGCAATTTCAATTTCTTTTTAAAATATGGCTGACTAACATGTTCTCCATAGTTCTGACTAGCTTTATGAAGATTTTATCCATAGGCTTAAAAAAATATTCACAAATAATGTGTTTTATTTTCATAAATAAATTTTTTACTTAAAATATTTAAATGTCTATCCAGGTTTTCTTTAGATATTTTATTACACATTCATATTATATATACATTAACAGCAAATGCTTAAATTTGTTGTTTATATCAAAAATATTTGTAAAAAAAAAAAAAAAAAAAAAAAAAAAAAAAGCTTTCCAAGAACTACATGTGTAAAAGTTTTTGGTCAGCAAAGATGCATTTCATGCGAGAGGCGCACCAGTCATTGTCGGATTATTTTTTTTTTAATATTCACTGGTATTAAGCCGATATCTGTACCAGTAGGTACGCATATCCCAAGATGACGTCCAGCTTGACACTTTCATGAGTTTACACTGCTTGATTTTGTTATTTTTGTCATATTTCATTAAATGAATCAAAGTGAATTGTAGATTTATTGAGTCTTGACAATTAGCTAGCGACAAGCAGAGCTGAATAAAACCTACAAATAAATCATATATCTCGTATGAAGGTGATAAGCGTACCTTGATGTTTTGGACATAAAAACCATGTGTAAATGATATCGGTACCTGCTAGTTTTATTTTTTCTAATTCTTTGCATTTTAACAATTTGCGCATAAATGTATCTGTCAAATATTTCACAGGAACGTAGCATCGTTTTTGAAAAAAGGGGGGGGGGGGCAGCAAGAGAAAAAATTCAACATACTCGAAAATCCTATTTCGTGGGAGGTGTAAGTGGGGGAGGGTAGGTGTTCCATCTTTCAGTACCAAATTTTATTAATACATTACCCTGAATTGACTATACTGCAACAAAAAAGGGGGAGCTGCCCTTTCAATGAATGAAATATATGTAGATAACGAACGGTATTCAAGCTCAAATGTCCATTAAACAATACAAATCGGGAGCAGAGCAAACACGCACCTCTATAATGTCAGAGGTGGGATCAGATGCCATGGAGGAGCAAGCATCCCCTGCTGACAGGTCATACCCGCCGTGTGCTCCTTGTCATGATCGTGAAATACGGAAAAATCCGTCGACAATGAACCTTTTCAATCGCGAAAAGTAAAGTTTGTAGTTTCAAGTCTGTAACAATGTTTTTTTAAGGTGGAGAGGGGTTGAGCCACAGGAAAACATTCAGGGTTTTTTTTAAATGTTAAAAAAGCAAAATGTTTACAAGCAATAAAGGGAAATAGGCTGTTGACTATTTTACAAAACTTAAATTCTTAAAACTGAGAAAGGAGGGGGAGGGGGTGTTGTAATACTCTCATTTTCTTTTCTGCACGAAATATATTCTGTACAATACGGTGCAAGCGGTTCAACGCTACCACAGAAAAGTGTGGAAAGTGTGTGTTTGGGGGGGGGGGGTGTCTCAGTTTAAATAATACCATGCATACAGGTGTATCTGCAAAAGACGGATGGGTCCAAATCCAAATCTTATGTAGAGAAAGAATACATATACTTTTACATGTACCGGTAAATACAATGTATAAAAATGTTTGTTTGTTTGTTTGCTTAGTTGTTTAACGTCCCTTCGAGAATGTTTCAATCATATTGAGACGCCAACACTTGCTGGTGGGGGGCTGCAAACTTAGACCTGTACTCGACACTTGCGGCTTTTGAGCAGAGAGAGACCTTTTTCGTGCCAGCATCTACTGCGACAAGGGACTTCGGTTTATACGGTCTTATCCTAAGGACCGGTCTCCACCCTATATAGTACGGAAATAATCCATACATTGTAAAAACAGTTTAGAAATGAGGCAAAAATAATATTTATATACATTTTTGTATGCTACGAAGAGATGCAAAAACAGATATATTCGAGGAGCCGTAACATATTTGGAGATTCGACCGTACATTATTTCGCCTACCACAATATCGAAGTGTATGCTTAAATCTTTGATAAAGTCCCAATATTTAATTACATTGTGACCCATATTCTTTTTCTTGAAATTTTGGGTTTTCTTTGGTGATTATTCAGATTTTCAGCGCTATAATCATTTCCTTTGATTTAATGTATCGTATAAAGGTATATGTTGCAAATTTCTCTCTGCTTTATAGAAAAAAAATGTTTCCTCATCAAATCGGATAACAATTATTTCTATTTTCTGGAGAAAGAGAGAGAGAGAGATTATATTTCATGTAACGCATATCCAGTAACTCGATCACAAAATGACATGGTACATATATATCTTTTTTTCATCAGGGTTTCCATTTACGCGTTAAATATCTATTCTGCATTTCTGGATTAATCTGCATAAAGCTATGTTTAAAGACTATATGTATATATATTCAAATCATTTTAATTCACCAACAGATTGAAGGGGTATATAAGTATATCTATAGATGTAAACTCTCGAAGCTGTGGAGCTTTTCGACATCTGAGGATACATGTATGCGTACCTACTGGTACGGATATCGGCTTAATACCACTGATTTCGGTCATTGGAGGAGAGATTTTTTATACATGTATTTTCAAGAACAGATTCTTTATTTCCAAAATCTGTCCCCCTCTTAATTACCCCCCCCCCCCCCCCCATAGAATGAAAATTGTCGTGCCCTAAAAGATATTGATGATTTCTTTAAAAGAATAGATTGGATAGAAGTTTCTAATCTGAATTAAATTCAAACTATTCGGAAATTGAAATTATTATTTGTCTTCTGCATCAAGCGTATGAGAAAAGCAAATTTGGATTGAAAATTAACTTCAAGCTAGAATTTCAATCAATTTTTTCTCAGACGTCCGACACGAATTCGTTTTCTATCACCAAATCATTTGCGGCTTTTCCCCAACCAACTCAGAATCAGCAGCATACTTTGTACATATCTTAGGACTATCTTAAGATACGTCTTTGGATGTAAAACAAAAGCATCTTAGGAATATCTTTAGTTAAGATGTCGTAATTGGGGAGGGGGGGGGGCGTGGTCATGGGATCAGTTCCCCTTGGGATTTTTAGAGTTGTTGAAATGATATTAATAGTAAACCCAATCCCTCTAGAAAACACGGACCCCTGTTACAATGGCATAGAAAGTCACATACATTTATACATCGTCTGTATATCTATAAAGGCAAAGCGATTTAACACCCCCTCCCCCTCTAAAACGAAATAGCTATATAAGGTATGGATAAGTTTATGGTTTTTTATCCTTGCTTGACAATAATGTCTGAGTCCTCTTTTTTTGAGTGCGCGGCTGTGTACCCTCCTTCCCCCCCCCCCCCCGGAAAATGCCTGTATCCGCGCTTGATATGTATTGGTAATAGTAGTATAAGGAGCCTAGATAGCCGGGTCAACTGAGTGCACTTTTGGGCCCCTGGGGGGATGGCCGGGTCAACTGAGTGCACCCCCGGGGTCAAGGTCAGAGATCTGGAAAAACCCACACGCGCTCAGCACTCACCTGGAAAAACCTAGCCATTATGACGTCATACACTGTATAAGTATTGCATGTGTCTGACTTGAAGCTCATTCTGTCGTCAGTTCCATCAGCTGTCGACATGGATTCTGCTATGAAAAAACTGTTACATGCCCAGCAACTGATGAGATGGAGAAGACGGGCGAAAGAGTTAGAAAGAATTATTTACAACAATAAACACAGAGAATTAGCGCTCAGAAAAAGAAATGCGAGAATATTAGAGAGAACGCAGAGAGCCCAAGTCCAACAAGAACAACAAAGGACTGTGTCGGATGAAGAACCGCACTCATCAGCCCATTCACCACCCCATAAGCCAAAGGCCATTTCCCAATATTATCAAGTGAGACTGAAACAAGCCAAGCATTCCAGAAAATTTAAAGCGCATGAAGATGTCTACAGTGTGAATTTTAAGGAATTTCCAGAGGAGGAAAACAGAGGCTTTGTTCGGCGATTATTTAGAGACATGCTGCAAAATGTCAAATATCAAATGCAGTGTAATCCTAACGATTACATACGCCTGAACATACGCCATCCTTCTCTGGATTCCGACATTTGGTACGAGTTTACGCAATGTGAACATTTAAACGAGGACGTCATTTTAGACAAAATAGAAGCCGTGCAACAATCCAAGAAGGATTTTAAACTGGGAGACGGGGCCATGGAATTCGACATGTTTCGGGTCAAGTATCCGGAAGGGAGTGGTGGAGACAAAACCAAACATCTGATGGTCAACAAGGAGAGTTTTAAGAAGGAAAAAAGAAGTATCGTTCAGATCGACAATCCCTGGGATCAGTTTTGTTTAGCTAGGGCCATCGTAGTCACCCGGTTATACAGTGAAAAACCTGAACATCCAGACCCCGAATGGGAAAAACGATGGAAACGCATGAGGTTAGGAGATGTAAGAGCTAATGACCAGAAAAACGAAGCCCTAGCCCTCATGGAACAAGCCGGGTGTGATATCCATCGGCCTTGTGGACCCGAAGAATGGGGGAAATTACAACAGGCGTTAACCCCTCGCTATCGATTGAAAATATTCCAGTTCAAGTCCACCTCCTATAAACTCACCTTAGAACTCGTTTACAAAGGCTGCGGAGAGGGAACTTGTTTGAATGTCCTGTTAAACGACCATCATTACGATGCCATCATATCTATGCCTGGTGTGACGGGCAATCAATACTACTGTGATCATTGCGACGTGGGCTACAGGAAAATCACAGACCATCGTACCCAGTGTCCTCACCGATGTTCCTTTTGTTTAACCGACACGCCCTGCCCTCCAGACGGGAGCCGCATTCAATGTAGCCAGTGCCAGGGATTTTTTCAGAGCAGAACTTGCTACGAAAACCATTTACAGCCTCACAGTAAGAATACGGCCACCACAGTATGCAGTTTAATGGGACGATGTGAGCACTGTCACAAATGGATGTCTAAAAATTTACTCCCTCATCATCATTGCGGAGGACAGAAACAGTGTAAGATCTGTAAGAAAACCGTAGACACGGATCATCAGTGCTACGTTCAACTCAAGCCCGAGAAAAAGAAGAAGAAAGGCAAAGAGACCTTACAGTTCTACATCTATTTCGATTTCGAATGCACGCAGGAAACCGGCATCCACGTCCCTAACCTGTGTGTGGCACACCGCGTATGTCAACATTGCGGTCACTTACCCATAGAAGATCCCTGTCCTCACTGTCGACACATGGGACCCCGTCAACACGTGTTCCGAGGGCCAGAGACCTTAAGGCAGTTCATGGACTGGTTATTACAACCCACTACAGGAAATAAGAATTCCGCCTTATTACACGACGAGGCCATCATCATCGCCCACAATTTCAAAGGATACGACGGACAGTTCATTTTAAATTACCTGGTTCATTCCGCCTGCCTGAAACCTACCGTCATCATGAACGGCAGTAAAATCTTATCCATGCAAATCTGCGGACTGAAATTCATCGACTCTTATAATTTTTTACCTTTTGCCCTGTCCAAGATGCCCTCTGCTTTCGGATTCACCGAACTGAAGAAAGGATATTTTCCACACTTTTTTAATACGGAACACAACCAGAATTACGTGGGGCCTTATCCACCGGCAGCTTACTACAATCCGGACGACATGTCTATAAGTGGACGACAGGCTTTTTACCGATGGTACGAACAACAAGCCGGAAAAGTGTTTGACTTCAAGAAGGAATTTTTAGAGTACTGTGTCTCGGACGTCGATATTTTACGACGATGCTGTGCTCAGTTTAGAGCCACCCTCAAGAGCTTGGTCCATGTAGACCCCTTCCAGGAATCCATCACTTTTGCCAGTGCGGCCAATTTAGCTTACCGTCGAGGATTCATGCCCAAAGAGACCATTGCCATCATTCCCAACCTGGGGTATCAGCCTGCGCGTCGATATTCCGCCAAAGCCTGTCGGTGGTTAAGCTGGATGAGTCACCAGAGCGGACACAACATACGGCATGCTAGAAACGGGGGAGAAGTCAAGATCGGAAGTTATACCGTCGACGGATACCAGGAAGCCACTCGCACCGTCTACGAATTTTACGGATGCTATTGGCACGGATGCCCCACCTGCTATCCGAATTTACAGACCGAAAGTCATCCTCACCGGACCCAATTTACCTATGAACAATTACACGAGGAAACTTTAAGACGGAGTTCTGTTTTAGAGGAAATGGGGTACTCCCTCCGTAGCATCTGGGAGCACGAATTCGATCAACAGGTACAAAGAGAGGTAACTCTACAGAATTATGTACGAGACCTGGACATTCCAGATCCTTTGAACCCCCGAGACGCCCTGTACGGAGGTCGGACTAATGCCACTAAATTATATTGTGAGGAGGGGGACATGAGATACGTGGACGTCTGTTCCTTATACCCTTACGTATTAAAACACAGACCTTTCCCCCTAGGCCATCCTCAGATCATAACAGACCAATTCCAGGACGTGAGAACTTATTTCGGCCTCATTCACTGTCGGGTCCTACCACCCCAAGGCCTCTATCACCCCGTTTTACCTTATCGCACGGGAGGCAAGTTATTGTTTCCCTTATGTCGAACGTGTGCGGAACGACAGGACTCTACCTCTAAACATCGATGTCAACACGCAGACCAGGAACGCAGTCTTACGGGTACCTGGGTGACTACAGAATTACATAAAGCCCTGGACATGGGATATACCTTAGAGCGGATTTACGAAGTTTGGCATTTTTCAGAAAGCAGTCGAGATTTATTCAGATCTTACATCGATACCTTCTTAAAGATCAAACAGGAAGCTTCTGGATTCCCACCTGATTGTCAGACGGAGGAACAGAAACTAGATTACATTCGTAAAGTCTTAGACAGAGAAGGGATCAGGATGGACCTGTTAAGTATAGAAAAAAATCCGGTGCTAAGAACGATAGCCAAACTCTTTTTTAAATTGCTTGTGGGGAAAATTCGCTCAACGCCTGTTATTACCTAAAACTCGATACTTGACCGAAGAAGAGGAACTACAGCAACTCTTACAAGATTCGACCATTGACATCAAAGGGATAAAACTCTTAGAAAATAAAGAGCAGGCCGAATCGGACATGATGCTGGTCAATTACTCGGCTATGTTAAGGAAGGAAATGGAAAATGCGATCTTACGGACATGCTTAATACGTATTATTTTAAAAAATCTTTGTAACAAAGTAACTGTAAAAAAGTAGGACAGGTAATATAGATATCCATAATGGATAGGTTTGTGGCTTACTCAGTACCAGTTACATTGCATGTATCAGCTGTGTGTCACGTGACTTGCATAAAAATAGAATTGTTCAGCTGAATGTAGAAAATGGGGCTAGTGCAAGGGCATACGCATGTTTTTAGAGAAAAAAAATGATACATATTAAAAATGATTAACATCGGCTTCCCGAAAAGTGCTGGGAGCTAGTTTGAGCTGTTTCGGAAATACTCGTAATTTTGCCGAAAATGCGTTTAATAGCCCAGAATTTCCACTTCGCTTAAATTCTGTCATGAATAAAAATAATGTTATGCCGACCAGAATCAGCTCCCAGCACTTTTCAAAATATACATGAAATAAGCAATTAATATTCCATATTTCAGCTCAAACAGTGTAGTCTATGCCCTTGCACTTTTGAGCTTAATCAGGTATACACTCATCGTGTTAGCGATATTCTTGGCATACTTTGTCTTTGTGCAGCTCCATAGCACCTGGATATATTAATAATCTACATTATTGTTTTAAATGAATCATTTCCTTTTAATTTTATTGATTAGATTTAAACATTAGCAATGGTTTAATATTTATTTAAGCATTTTTGTAATTATTAAACCAATGGATCCACGCCTCTAGATCACTTGTACTGCGTCAAGTCAAGGCTAGTGACGTCATTTATGAAGCAAGATTTGCTTCTAATAACTCGGCAGTATAGTTATCAGATGTTGTGATTTTACATGCTTTTATAAAAAATTGATAAAATAAATGAATGCAAGATGTTATTTACGCATTATCATGTGGTTAAATAGATTTTTGTCGCTTGTTAAATTTTCAATGACGTCACAATGAAACTTCACATACGGTGCATCACAGAGGTGAACTCAGGCCTTCCTTAACATAGCTGAGTATCAAGAGAAACAGGAATTCGTGGAAGAGTGTCCCTTCGGAAACGTAGTACTGGCCTGTTTCACTACCGCCCATGCCCGATTACACCTCTACGAGACTTTACAACCTTTGGGAGATCGGGTCCTTTATTTCGACACGGACAGTATCATATACCAACATGAGGAGGGACAATTTAATCCTACCCTTGGCAACAGTTTAGGAGAATGGACAGACGAATTAGACGGGGACCACATTATCAAATTCATGTCAGGAGGCCCCAAAAATTATGCTTACCTCACCGCCAAGGGAAAATCCATGTGTAAAGTCAAAGGATTGACTCTCAATTATCGGGCCTCTCAGATCGTGTCACCAGAGACTTTAGAAAAAATGCTCCAGAAAGAAATTGACGAAATCCAAGTCTCGTATCCCTACAAAATACAGAGGACTCGTCAACATGAAGTCAAGACAATACCTTTAGAAAAACAATATAGAATTGTCTATGATAAGAGACAATTGATGGAAGATTATAACACTTTACCTTATGGTTATTAAAAAAAAAAACAAAACAAAACTGTATTTTAAATGTTGTTGTTATTTTATGGGGAAAACCCCCCCAAAAAAATGAGGGGTTATAAAAAGGGGGGGAAATAATATAACACTTCAGTCATGGCTGGTGTTGATAAGGAGCCAGACTACCTTCCTGTTTACCCTAAATATGCTCTGCTCTTAAAGAGAGAAGCTACCTTTGATGATCGATGGCCCGATTCTTTAAAAGGATTAATACCCGACCTAGCCAAAGCCGGATTTTATTACAGAGGAGTGAGTGATAAGACCATCTGTTTTCATTGTGGTATGACTTTAAACCTCTGGGAACCTACAGACCATCCTTATGTAGAACATGCTTATTGGAACCCTAATTGTCCTTACATCAATACCTATAAAGGACGTGAGTGGGTGATGATCGTATTCATTAACCATTTACTCCGGGTGGGATACAAACCTTCACCTGAAATCAAACCTCTACTAGACCAAACCTCTACAGAGATCCAGGCCACAGGAAAATGTCACATTTGTTTAGAGAGAGAATTACAAATGGCTTTACTCCCTTGCGGACACGTATGTTGCTGTTATTTATGTGCTCCCACCTTCCGGTATTGCCCCATCTGTCGAGCCGATGTGAAGAGAACTCAACGTATATTTCTGTGTTGAATAAAAAGGATTGAAACCCTATTTTTCTCTTCATTTGTCATCATGCAACCTGAGGAGACACTCCCGTCTTTTCAATTGAAACACGAATTTACCATGGTGGTAGCAGGACCTTCTAAATCGGGAAAAACGGAATTTGTCAAGAAATTGGTGGAAAATTTACATTGGATTACCCCCATGCCACAAAAAATTGTCTGGTGTTATCGGGAATGGCAACCTGCTTACACTTCTTTAACAGATCGGGTCTCCTTCATTCGAAATATTCCAGAAGACGATGAGAAATTAGTGGCCAATATAACTATTCCTCACTTACTCATTTTTGACGACATGATGGGAGGAAAAGCCATCGAATCGATCGTGGATTGGTTTACCCGTAAAGCGCATCATCGGAATACCAGTGTGATTTACATCACTCAGAACTTATTTGATCGAGCACCACAGCATCGCACCATTAGTTTGAATGCTCATTATTTAGTGTTGTTTAAAAATCCCAGAGACAAATCTCAAATCAGTGTCTTGAGTCGACAGTTAGCCGTACCTCATTTGATGTCGGCCTATCAAGAAGCCACCAGTGTTCCTCACGGGTATCTCCTGGTGGACTTGAATCCACAGACCCCAGACGAATACAGATTGAGAAGTCGATTGTTTGAATGGTTGACTATACACATGCCACAAGAGTATAAATAAAAATGTATCAACATTACACTTGTCATTCATCATTATACAGTCATCATGGGTCGACCTCTCTCGGCCAAGAGTAAATTAGTGAAAACCTTACGACGTTTACAGCGGGAACGAGATCCTGCCAAGCGAGCCCATTTAATCGAATTAGGGCGTAAAGCCTTATTGAATTGGTTTGCTATGGGAGCTCTAAATTTGATACGTGGGGTCTTACCCATCAATAAACAGACTCAAAAGTTTATTAATAATCATCGTCAAGATTTAAGCATCATAGCCGATAAGTCGGCGAGTGATCAAGACAGAAAAAATGCCATTTTAAAACGCGGAGGAGCCGGATTTCTAGGCGGAGTCATCATTCGTCATTTATTTAAATGGAATGCACCTAAGAAACGACGTGTCCGTCGTTTGAAAAGTGTGGTAGTGCGAGTCGATAATAAGAAACAAAGAGTGTTTCCCGACTGGATGGTCCGAGTAGGAGGAGCAGCTCAAAAGACCAGAAAGAAGAGAAAACCTCCTAAGAGAAAACCTACTCAAAGAAAAGCCCCTGGTGGTAGAAAGAAGAAAAAAACCACTCCCAAAACTCCAGCTCAACGAAAAGCCATGCCCGAAAGTCTAAAAAACGAAATCAATCAGTATTATAAGGAACAAAGACAAAAAACTATTGGGGAGTTATTAAAGAAACAAGCTGAAATGAGAATGGATCGTCCTATGGGGCCCATAGGCAGTCAAAGAGCTACCGATTTAGAAGTGTTTCCTCGAGTCAATGTGGGAATTCCCTCTCCTAGAATTAAAGTCCCCATTCACACTCCTAAAATAGCACGCTTTCAACCTCTGACCGCTTCTACACCTACACTTCCTAAAGGAATGAGATATAAATGTCGATATTGTTCCAAAATCTACGTCACCCAGAAAAATAGAGACAAACACGAGAAGGACAAACACGACATGTATGCTCCTCCTCCTTGAGAGTATAAAAAGGAGAGAAACCTGGGACATGTCCTCATTTTAACCCCAGGATGGCTAAGAAGAAGAAGAAAAGAAGGACTTGCTGTTCTACACGATTAAAACCTCATTGGCCTCTTTTAAGAGTGTTATCTGACCCTCACTATTCCTCTCCATTAAAGACGGGTATTTTAAAACATTGTTCTGGAGATTGTATTCTCAAAATCTGCGAGATCGTGTATAACCTATTAAAAGGAGTGTTACCTCTCAGTTCGGCTCATAAACGAAAACTAGCTCCTTAGAAACACATCTTCAGGAGACTGGTCAAACCTCAATCTATCCGTAGACGACGAGCTTTGTTAGTCCAGCAAAAAGGAGGCTTCTTCCCTCTCTTAGCAGCAGCCGCTCCTTTACTTTTGGGAGCAGCTTCTTCCCTCCTAGGAAAATGAGTCGTAAAATGGTGTTAGTTCCCGAAGTCTTATTGAACGATCTCAAGGCAAAATTACCCAAACCTCCGGAATTTCAATCCACCATCAGTTTAGGTCAGGAATTGGACGAGATTACAAGACGTGAAGATTTAACCCCAGAAGAAAAAGTCGCTTTATATGGCCAGGAACTTCATCGATATAGGAATTATTTACAACAAGCTAGACAGGAACCTATTTCTAAACCCAAAATTCCAGCAGCAGCAGGAGCAGCTCCAGCCCCAGCAGCAGCAGCAGCAGCAGCACCAGCAGCCCCAGGTGAAATTGAAGATGAAATCCTTGAAACAGTGAATAAAAACATGAAAAGAAAAGCTGGATTATTATTAAATCATTTAAAGAAAACCAAGGTGTTGAGTTGGAATAAGGAAGGTGAAATTAGTTATCGAGGTCAAAAAGTTCCCGATTCTAACATTGTGGATTTAATGGCTGATAGTATGAGATCTCGTTCTCGTAAAAACCATCCCCTTCCTAAAGGATTAGATGAATTTGCTCAAGCTTTAAAAGAGACGCGTACTCCTCTGGAATACTTGAGCAATGGAAACCTTATAAAAGCCATGCAGAGACCTGGAAAAATCAGTACTCCTAAAAGTATCCTCAGTGATAGTGAGGACGAGGGCGATAGTGGATTTAAAGATGCTTCTTCATTTTTTGACCCCTATTAGTAGACCTGTAGGAGATAGAGGAATAAAAAAATCCACTCCTAGACCTCTGTTAAATTTAGCGAAGGCCATCAAAAAATCTAAATTCAGTCCAAGTTTACCGAAAAAGAGATTAGAACAGATCGACGAAAATTGGCTTTCATTACCTAAGATATGAAAAAGAAACCAGTGGAAGACATTTTAAAAGAGATTTATTATGATCCTAAAAGAGGGTACGGAGGACTACAAGCTTTGTATCGTCAGGTCAGAAGTCTGGGACATAAGATTTCCTTGAAAAAGATACGAGAATGGTTAAAAGAGCAAGATGCGTATACCTTACATAAACCCATTCACAGAAAATTCCGGAGACAACAGACTAGAGTGACGGATATAGACGAACAATGGCAATTAGATTTAGCAGATGTGTCCAGTTTAAAGAAACACAATGACGGTTATACTTTTTTATTGTGTGCCATTGACGTCTTATCTAAATATGCCTGGGTGGTGCCTTTAAAACAGAAAACGGGAAAAGAAATGATTCGAGGATTACGAGAGATTTTTCAACAAGACGGTCGACGTCCCGTCCGCATTCAATCCGATCAAGGAAAAGAATTTACCAATCGAGAATTCTTACAGGCTTTTAAATCCATTCATTTTTTTAACACTCGTAATACGGACACCAAAGCCAGTATCGTGGAACGATTTCAGAGAACTCTCAAAGCACGCATGTGGCGCTATTTCACCCGTCATAAAACCAGACGGTATTTAGAGATCTTACCGGATTTAGTGTATGCTTACAATCACACTTATCATCGCAGTATCCAAAGAGCACCAGCTCAAGTGAATGCTTCTAATGTGTTAAAAGTCTGGAAAACTTTATATGGGAAATCCAATCGGAAACAGTTTCCTAAACCTCAGTTTAAGGAAGGAGATCGGGTACGCATCAGTAAAGCCAAACGCACATTTGAAAAAGGATATTTACCTAACTGGACCACAGAACTGTTTACCATTTCTAAAAGAGTTCCTGGAAGGTATCCTTACGTGTATAGAGTGCAAGATTATAACGGAGAGGAATTAGAAGGGACTTTTTACGAGAAAGAATTACAAAAGATCATTAAAAAAGACGACGTGTACGAAGTGGAGGAAATCTTGGGGTATAAAAAGCGACGCGTAGGGAAAAAAATCATTCAAGAAGTCAAAGTTCGGTGGAAAGGATATCCCCCTAATTTCGATTCATGGATTCCCCAAACGGATCTCATCCAATAACTCCTCATTGGAAATTTTGTGGAGAGAATGTTCCTCGAGAAGAAATCGTTTATTTCGCACAATTATTGATCTGTGTATCTCTCATCGTCACCAGTGTGGTCATGTTAGCTTTACACGATCCTAATCGAGAATATTGGATGGTATGTGTCAGTTCCTCAGTGGGTTATATCATGCCTAGTCCTACGATGATGCATCATACACCTACCCCTAAGAAGACCACGAATGCACAGAGTTAATGTCTTTTTAAAAAAAATAGATACACCACAGAGTATATATATAAAATGGGGAAACAACAAAGATTTTTTTCATTTCTGATCTGACTGAGGACAGAGCA